ACTTCCTTTCCCTTTTTATGCATCCTATTTACTTCCCACCACAACCCTGTAATCTCATTCCATCGAGACAGGGGATTGAGAATTCCAGCCTCATGAAAGCATTGAGACGCAGAGAGGACCGTTATTTGGGTTCAGGGAGCATCTGTGCAGCCGGTGTTTCCTTCCTTACCTCCTTCTCAATTCGAGATTTGTGGAATTAACTTTGGTGGAGGGATTGTGATTTCAAATTCCTCCTCCAAGTTAAATAAAAATGCTTTTTAAGTGCTTAGCTTTGCATCAAGCTGGAGCCATGAAGAGGATTAAAAAGCGATGCTTTCTCTCTTTCCACCGCCTGTGGGGTTGCTCTCGGCTGTTTTGGCGGACACGCAGGCAGGAAGTGTCGCCTGTCATAAGGCTGTGGAATGGGCAATAACCACTGAAGCATTCATTCGCCCAGCTTTGCAATGCATAAACCATTGCCAATCATAAATCAGTCTATCAATCAGCCATCAAGCAGTTCATCCTTCTTACCACCAAAAACGAATTGTTCAATGCGGACATAAGAGATGGGACAAACTTTGCTGCCTACAGCCAGTTGGTGCTGGTCTATGAAGGCGTTGAAAACATTCCAAAGGTGGGCAACTGGTGATTGTATTGCCATTCAGTTTGCTTTTATTCCTCCCAATTTGTATGCACGCCAGTAAAGGTGGAGAGGTGGCGAAGCAGAAGAGAGCAGAAAATAAAACTTTATTGTGCATCTTAGTTACCCTCTTAAGGAGGAGATTACTAAGCCCACAAATCCGGAAGCACGCCTATTGTAAAAGGCTGACGAATGACTAAGCCTGAGGACAATCTGGTGGAGAACATAACGGTGGCTATCAAGTGAGGGCCGGGGAAGTGCCCTAAGAGAGTTTATTTTTTGTCAATGCACACTTAACTCTCATCACATTGTCCTTCCTCTCCACTTTTTTAAATTGTTACCACAAAAGGGTGAGGAGGATGCATCGTGATGATTGAGGAACGACAGGACACACGGTGATGCGAGGCAATAAAAACTTAATGTGCTATTGCCTTGTAAGAGTGTTGACCAACCTATACTTATCTGTCTACTCCTAAGCCACTTCCACGTTTGTGGTGGGAGGTCTAACCCTGGGGAGAAATGGGGTGTAGGCGACGTCGTTTACCAATCTCTGCCACCATAGCACGGCTCATTCATCAATGTTAAAGGGGATCTCACAAGAGATTCATAATTGCTGCTAGCGGATCTTATAACTGAAAAATGCTCTCAACTTTCCTCGGTTTTTATCACTGTCTCAAGGATCAAGTAAAAATGAATCAATTAGTATATTTTGACAATGCATGTAAAGCAAAAGCCAGAAAAGGTGACAGTGAAAGAATTTTGAAGATTTTCTGAAGAGTAAATTTTTAATTTAGTTTTTTTCTTTTCGAGGAATCTTAGGTGCTAAGATAAGCAGCTGCGTTCCTGTCATCGAAATTAATGCTGTTTTAGCGTGTCTGCGGTTTTGTTTGAATGCACTAGGAGGCGGTGACGGATTTACGATTCGAATTTTTTTAGATTCCTTTCATCATTACTGCGATGAGTATCTTTTACCTCCTTCAGAACTTTTTGCCTTTCCCTCCTTTTGCAAATCTTTGTAAGTTAGTGCTTTGAGATACCGACTTTTTGGTTTGTCTGAGAGTAGCGAAACCTCAATACCCTTTGGTCAGTACTAGTGACACCTGTATAAACGTGCAGCTACTAAAAGGATACTTTATTTGTTACATTCTCTGCCTAACTCAATATCGTCCCCAGCGGAGTTCAATACCAGATGCGCTCGGCTTAGCCAGGAATAGTGGCAGTCACCCACTGACCTTGAGGCGTTAGCCAATCAGGAGTGCGGATTTTGGAAGGGATGAGAAATGGCATACAAGATAATAAGCTTCAAAAGTGGTTACCAACTTTGTGGGAGATTGCCAGCACAGTGTGGTTATGGGTGCAAGTACGCATTTTGCTGAGATTTTCAGTCGACATAAATGAGGAAGGTGGACTTATGCAGCTCAAGCGCTATGAACTAACTACACTTATGGCCTATGATCAGCACCACAGATTCTCCACACACTTGTATCAGCATGAATGACCTGAATCTCACAGTTGAACTATTTGTTCTCATGAAATGCGTTCTCACGTCTTGATTTATAATGAGGAGATCCTCCTGTGAATGTAAGTCGGGGAATATCTTAAAATGTCAAAATTCACCTACCTATACTTTTCTCACATTCTTCATGCCCAACTCATTTAGGAGGGAGTAATACAACACAAATAAAATGTGATATGCATCATCAAGGTGGGTGGTAAGGAGCGAAGGAAGTGAGGCAGAGTAGTGCCTCCCTTTGCTCACACTGTAAAGTCTCCTCCGTGTGGGTTCCTCTTTGATCCTATCTTTAACTCAAACGTCCGATCCTGGTTTCTCTCACCATTTCCAAAGTGGTAATTTTGGTGTTCAAGTTCTTCCTCCTTCGGCTTGCATTTTGTCGGGGAGCAGCAAGATCACAGAAGGGGCTATTGTTGTATATTCTTCGACGAAAGAGCACTTGCCTACTTAAGTTCCCATTCTCCGGACAAAGAGGACAATATAACATTAATTTGCCTTCCAAGTAAGTCTGGAAATAGATCTCGCCCCAGACGCACGATTCTTAGAGTGCATAAATGCGATTAAACATTTTGCACTAAATATCATTCCTATGTGTCTGGTAGCCTCAACAGAGCATTCCTTTGCCGTAATTAATGAAGTGGTGAAGATTCTGTTTTACCAATTGCGTCAACCGTAGTGCCAGAGACCCTTGATTTCTTGGGATAACGTGCGCTGTTATTGACGAGACACTCTCCCGAACCATCTCTGACGTCTGGTTGGCTACGACTATGGCAATCACAAGTTGAAAAGAATTGCAACAGCTTAGAAGGGCTACACGATGACTAATAGGAGGCGTTGCATGGGTTCATAGAACCCTAAGTTTTAACTCAATAGTTTTTCAAACGCACTGAGCTCTTCGTAGTTTTCAGCATTGACCCCTCCCACTACCCAGGATGGATGTTTCTTTGTCCACTTCATTTGGGCACAACCCCACCCAACAAAAACTCCTTTGCTTTTAAGATCCATTAAAAGCGTACAATCTTTTACAACCCTCTGAATGTTAGGAAAAGCACAATTGCGACTTTCACTACGACCTTAAAGGGATGCCATCGTTCATGTAACAGTCCTCCTTCTCATGCTAAAACCATTCATCACCTGTGATTTGGACATCGGCGACTTTAAGGTTGACGTCTGACGTCTGACCGTCGGATAAAGGGAGTTGCGATTGGAGAGAGGGGAGAGGAAGAGGAGGAAGGAAAGT